AAACAACCCACACATCACCACACCCAAAACATCTCAGCTCGGACCCAAACGTGTTGCATGCGATGCATGTAGGAAGCGCCGTATCCGATGCAAACACAAAGACGAGCTTATTGATACATCGAAGCCGGGCATGCACACCATCGACCTATCTGGCTCGTATGGCATATCTGTCAAACGCCGGCTCAGCGATCACTCTGTTGCGGATAGTTTGTCAAACGCCGCCAATGGTCCAGTGAATGGCGGCCCAATCATGGCTGATGTGAACGGCGACCCTTATGCGCTCAAGTCTGGCAGAGTCAAGGCTTGTGCGGACTGTAGGAAGAGCAAGCGTCGATGCATACACGATGAATATGGCAACGTCGATCCTGTCAAGGCCAACGAGATCCCCATTCCGCGGGGTTCAGCTTCAAAGAAACGAAGAGTCAGCGATGAGGATTCGGGATCAACAGCGAAGCGGATGAGACATGAATCTTCATACGACGACGAATATCTGAACGGAGACATACATGCGCGACATTCTCTTCCGAACCAGTTCAGCGGCGGTTCGTCTTTCCTCCAAGAGATGGCCTACTCCGCCCAGCAAGCGTTGGATCAAAGTCCCGAGAATGATGATCTAGTGCCAGTTGATCCTGCCCTCCAGGCATATACGAACGGCGACTACAATCACGACGTGGCGAACTCGTACCACCCAAACGGCGATACGGTCATGTCGTCTGTTGAGTATCAGCCAACCGATCCCATGCTCATGGATGGAATGGAACCAACTGGCCGCAACGGCGAAGTCCACGGTCCTAGCATAGAGCCGCTCACGCCTGGTCCGCCACCACACAACGATACCGCGCGAACGCACACGAACGGCTTCACATCGAAGCCCGGATCAGAACACCACGCTGTTCGCAACCCATCATCGCCCGTCTCGCCCAGACATGTCTCCGCTGCATCGCCCACTGGAACCACCAACAACAACCACACATACAACCCCTACATCACCTCTCCGGCCACAAACACCTACAATAACTTCACCACAAACTCCGACTTCCCTCCTCCACCCGTCACGCCCACTCTCAACAACTCATACAAAGCCCGTACCCAGAACTCGTCAGGCCGCAAAGCCAGTCAAACGCCTTCCCGCGCTGGCCGCAATAGCAAAACACCCAAGTCCACACCTAGCAAGCGGCAAGAAAACGGCAACGGCAATGGCATCAAATTGGAGCACGGCATGAGTATGGGAACCGGTATGGGCATCGGCGTCGGCATGAATGGAGGCATGAACGTCCCCATGGGCAGCATGATCAACATGATCGACCCCAACCTTGACCAAGCGAGTTTCGATCTGATCAAGCAGCTACAACAGGAGGATTTGGGATTACGAAGGCGGAGTCGTTGAGGAAACTACACCACACCACACCATTTCTTGGCACTACTTCACTATCATTGGAGATGTTCTCCTTCCTTTTCCTTGATTTTCCTACATCATTTTCTGTTTTGTCTTGTCTTGCATCAATTCGGTCAACGGCGTTCGAACATGTCCAACGTATGGGGACAACGGGACTTGCGCGGCGTTTACTACTTCCTTGTTAGGAAGCTTTTGCTTATACCCAACTATTCGGCACTGGGATAGTGTACATTGCACTTTTTCTTTTCTCTTTCATACTCATGTGGTGGAGGGGATAGTAGGCGTTCGTTAGCCTGCATGGACTGCGGCTCTTTCCTTGTTCGGTTGTTCGCTCTTGGGGGGTTGCATGCATAGTATCATAGTTATGGTGACTAGTCGCGTATGATTTGGTAATGCAAATGCAAACATCACAATGCGTAATTCGCTTCATGAGGAAAATATTGTGACGTGCCGTTATTTCATTGGACATGTCTAAGTCGTGAGTCGAGTGAGACTGCCACATTGCAGCTATCGTAGTCTGCCGTCTATCTCTCATCCCCTCAGCGGGCCTTGGGCTTCTTCCCCTAACCCATAGCCACCACACTACTCCAACGCACTAGTAACGTTCGAGAACTCGCCCTTCTTCAGCTTCGTCTCCCAGAAAATGGGATTCGTATCGTTGAAGCCGTGCTTGACCCAGCCGTCCTCCTTGACATGGTACAAGTTGATGAAACCACCAGAGTACGCGTCGCGATGAGTAGCAGCGAGGATACTCCTCCTGCCCAGCTCGAGCGCCTCGTCGTCCTCCAGTTCGTACTTGTACTGTGCGTCGAGCACACCGTAGGCGAAGGTCTGACCAGAGCCGACACAGAAGAGGTTGCCGGCGAGGCGCGTGCCGTCGCTGTCGATGTAGTAGAGGGCGGGGCCTTCTTGAGGGGTTACGCCTGCGCACATTGTTCCCTGAGAAAGTTGTTAGACGGGGGAAGTAGGGAGGGGGTAGCGGTGAGGGGGAAAGACGTACCATACTCAGACCCATGCCCTTGTACGAGTAGACGAGGTTGGCGAGGATCTTGGAGGCTGCGGCGACGGAGATACGGCGCTTGTGGCGGAGCTCGTGGAGGCGACATTGCATTCCGAGGTATGCGAGCCAGTATTGGCAGTCCTATCGCATGTCAATACTCCGCTTCTCTTCAGACTCCTTCGTGTGGTTGTCCTGTACGTACAGCAGCGCCACCAGCCATGGTTCCCAACAAGCAGTTGTTGATCTCAATAACCTTCTTGACCGTCTGACTGGCTATCCAGTTTCCAGCCGTCGCACGCGAATCGGTGGCTACGATGATGCCGCCCTTGAAGCGGAAGGCGAGGGTTGTGGTTCCGTGGGCGATCTTGATGGGGCAGTTCGGGTTAGAGTAGTCGTCCGTCATTGCGCGGAGCCATGATGCTGACTATGAGGCTGTCAGTACAATCCACTCCTCATAGGTCATAGTAAAGGGTGAGCGCACCTGAGCTACTGGTGGTAGGGCGAACTTGAGAGACAGCTCTGGGGTGCCGCTGTAGAGCTGCAACTGCTCCTCCTCGGACGGGCCTTCCTCTGTATACGCCGGTCGGCTGTACTGCGATACTAATGAATCCATGGTTGCGAGGGTGTGTATTGGCGGGATTCAGAGGGTATCGGAAACGTGATCGAGTGGTTGGGGTGGGGATGGTTGATTGTTTGACGTGGTGATGTGAGCTCGAAGCTCCGGCGTTGTCGGTAATGCCAAGACATAGCCGCGTCTAGCTGTTGCCTTCACCAGTCCGGTGGATCAGCGCCGATGAACTACACTACAACCTGCGCACTTTCGAGCTGTCTATGCGCGTAAACGCTGCTATGGGTGATGCGTCCTATCGTTTGCTTTGTTCCTTGCCATGCCCACGTCTTCCTCTCTAGCACTGACCTCCCAGTGATCGCCACTCATACGAGCAGCGATGCTCAGTACCGCGCGCCTGGCGTGCGTCATCGCCATTTATCGCAATCGCATCTACTCCAGTTAACCAAAGAGAAGGTATGCGACCATGCTCACAGGCATGCGCATGCGCAAAGAGTGTAGAGATATCTGCAGTCATGCCGTTACACACAGCGACGGACCAGCGTGGCGCAGACGCATCGCAAGAGAGGGAAATGCCATCGGAAGGACTATTGTACGACCTTAACACATCTCTACATACGTCATCAGGTACTACAAGTTCCTGCATCGCGCAAGTCAGGAACGGGCGTTGGGGCTCAAGCGTCACATGCCGCTCGTTGAGACTTGAGGTCAGGCAAGACATGGCGCCGACCCACGCGCGCATCTCGCACCCATGTCAGCCTCAGTCACTCGCCCAGCGGACTTGAACACATGTTTGCATTGCCTATATGCAGGCACCAGCAACAATCATGCAGGCACCGCTTTCACTCGCTCTGTCTCATTTGTCGTCTCCTGTATAAGCATACGTGCGGCCCGCGTGCAGGTCCGGCGCAGCGTGCGTGATGGTAGCAAATGATCGTCGAGGGCAACAGTATATACATAGGTGTACGCCATCAGCAGAAAGAGTGCGAAAGGACTTGATCATTTGTACATTGTGTGTCAGCCATAGGATAAAGTACTGCCTGCACCCCATTGTCTGCTCTTCTTTCAAGTCTTCTGAATGCCCCGTTACGACACTACACCTTATTCGTACTATCAACCTTCGCGACCACCTTCAACTTACACCCCATCTTTTTCACACACTGCTTACCATCGTATTGCCCCGCCCACGCGACTCCACCCCTTGCCCGCGCGCATCGATTCCGGCGTCGATCTCTCCTCGCCGCGCACCAGAGATGTGCTGGTTCACCCTCACACCAGCCAAAGGCAAAAAGCAACAGCGCCCTTCTACCGACTCTTCATGTGCGGAGGAACTCGTTCGCGTTCGCCGTAGTCCCGCGTCGCCCCGTTTCAGCGACGTCCGCGTCAGAGTACCGAGTATGAGCCTCGAAGTGGAGGAAGGGGGTGGTCACGATCACGTGCACTTCGACGCGCACCTGAACCACCACCACAGACATCCTCATCTACATCCGCTACTCATGCATCCGATTCATGGCCATAGCCACCACCACCACGGACTCGGCATAGTCGACATCAAAGAAGGCCACCTCCGCGGCTCAGGCAGGAAACGCAGCATCTCATCTCCTTGCCCTCCACCCCCAACCCGCGAGCCATCACGTTGCCCACCACCGTCCCGCCCCCGCGAACCAACTTATCACACCCAAATCGTCGAGCCTAGGGCATCAACAACGACAGTCCGGGAGAACACCCGCACAGCCCTCCGCAACGTCCAGCAAGAGCGGACCCGAGGAACTTTACGCAGAGTAGCCGGTTACGAAGCCTTGAGCAAGAGCATGCCGTGGGATTGGGATTGCGTGAGCAGTACTGTGGGAAGTAGTGCGAGTGGGGGAGGGAGGTGGATGAGGAGGAGGAAACCGAGTGGGTTGAAGTATCCGCCGTTTGGGAGTATGGATCGTTGGCTTTGACGCATTTCCTTATGTTTGGGTCTTGTGTTGGAGTTTGAGGTTGGAGCGAGTAGTCTTAATGATTGTGTTATGTTATATACCCTGCCCTCAATTTCATACCCTCTTCTCGATGTATACTGGCCATGAATGCGGGACAACCGTGAAGTAGGCTTTCCACTGCCAGTCTTGTGTAGGGTCTACTTGCTTGATCTTGTAGTCTCTGACTAACGTCGCTGCGATCTTCGCGAGTTCAATCTTAGCGATGTTTTGGCCTGGACAGCCGCCGTAACCTGCACCAAACTACGGAGACAGTCAGCATGCACACAAAGATGCTGTTGTGCAATCAGTACGGGGACAGAGGTAACCTACAGGTATCCAATACTTCTCCTTCGTAGTGCTATCCTCTGCTAACCAGCGATCTGGACTGAAAACATGCGCATCGGCACCCCAAATCTCCTTCGAGTAGTGCATCACCCATGCTGCAGTTTGAGGTCAGCATGGTCAACAAAGCATATTATCGAAGTTCCTTCACCTACGATTGATTGATACGATCGTATTCTCGGGTATAGTGCGACCGCCAAACGTCAAGCCTCCCTTAGGCGCTATACGCGGAAGACCCATGGGCACTGGACCGAAGATGCGAAGCGCTTCTTTTACGCAAGCTTGTACGAAACTGCTCAATATCAGCTTCACATCACTTCAGATCGCGAGGCTTAAAGGACTGTTCTTACACAAGCTGCTGTGTATCAGCATAAGACACAACTCGATCACCACACAATCCCTTTTCTACTGCTTTCACAATCTCCTCATGCGCTCGCTCCCACGCATTCTCATGCCGAATCATATGATAAATAAAAGACTGTATCCCGGCAGCCACTGTGTCCGACCCCGCACCCACAGCTGCAAGCGCCTGCGTACCAATCTCGCGTATAGTAAACTTACCCGGATACTTCTCATGCTGCTTAAACCAGTACTGCACTGCATCGTATCTCGCATTCTCATTCTTCTCTCGATCCGCCAACACAGACGTGACAGTGTCGAAGAGATGGCCCATTGGTAAGATAGACAGCCATGTCATAATGGGGTTGGCTAGCAGGGCGATGTTGATCCAGCGGAAGTAACCTGCTACCGCGATATACGCGTTCAGAGCGAGGGAGTTTGAGATGGAGTTACCTATGTCTTTGCCTTGGGCGAGGAAGCCGAAGGGTTTGGAGAAGACGATTTCGCCGATTACGTCGAAGGTTAGGTAGGATATGTAGGTGTTGAGATGCATTGGTTTCTTCGCGGCTGCGTATTCGTCCATCCAGTCGAGGAAGGCGTCGAAGGTACGGTCAATGTGCTCTTCGGAGCGGAGGAGGTTGGAGACGGTATATGCCGCGGCTATGTATTTTGACTTTTCGACCTTCTTCTTGGGGTCGGTGGTGCTCATGGGCGATTGGAAACGGTAGTCTGGTAGGGCATGGATTTTGTACCAGTTTGCCTGGTACTCATGTTAGTCGTCTCGTAGATCGATGTGCTTTTCGAAGTAGTACCTTGTGGAGAGGAGCTACGAGAATCTTCGCAATGGCATCTGGATGGTTAACGCTGAGTTCGTCGTATGAGATACGAACGAAGTGACCTAGGGAGATTGTGAGCGAGCCATCGATAACAAGCGCTGCTGCATATCTTTTACACTTACCATGTTGTTCATGTAAGCGTATGAGTTCGAGGTTCTGATCGCCTCTTAGGATTCGATGCATATGCCAAAGGCGAGTAAAAGAAGCCGCGAACGGCCCTGGTATATCGCTGATTGCAGCGAAGTACCAGCGCCATGTAAGTAGAGTCAAGAGGCTGATGCTAGCAATCGAAGTGACTAAAAGCCAGACCATGTTGATTCGGTCTAAACGACTGATGTCTCTGTATAGTGGGAAGATATGCGGCGTGGCACATGAGTGGGATGAAAGGATTCGAGCCTTGCATACTTTTGGAATAGCGGGATGCGGCTTTGACCCAATCGGGCTTTTAGCGACATGCAGTTCGAGGTGGCATAGATTACGGACCGTTAGCGCGGGTGAGGATGGGATCCTGAAGTTTTTACATTGATACGCGGCTAGGTACAATACAATACTGAGTAACTCAATACAGGAGTGAATCGCTATGCCGAGCTATATATACTAAGTCTCAACCCAGCTCTAACGCAAGTCTTCGGACGTATCTCTTGAAGCCGCTATAATCTCGGTGTATGTCGCACGTCCAGCTCAGTCGTCACAATGATTGAGTTCTGCCGGGAAGACTTTACAGAGTTAGAATGCGTCTCCCCAAATCCGAAAATCGGTGGACCTGGTTGTTTGTGTAATCCTTCCACGAGCTCCACCTGCGACTCGTTGCCAGTCAGTCCTTGCTCTAGCCTCGTTATAGTTCCCATAGAAGCACGCTTGTTTCGGAGTCCTCGGCGCATCGATGAGAGATGGTATGGCTTCTCGTTTGATCGCTCATAACTGCCCGCAGAGCTGTGTTTGCCTCTGACTTTACCCCAAAGTGCTTTCATTGCTGGTAAATTCGCCGCAACAATCGCGCATTGGACCTCGAATGATGCCACAATTATCATCTTTCCCACGTCTATTGATAGGTCTGTCTTCATCGAGGATACCGATAGGAGGATGGGTAGGCGGATGATTGCGACTGTGACGGAGATGATGCCGAAGGCGAGGACGGAGACGACGGTGACTTTGCGGCGTAAATTCATTTGGAGAGTCAAAACGGAGGGTATCGGGAGACAAATAATGTAGAGGTCCATGAAGATGTTCTAAAGGCGACATGTGTCAGTGTGCGCGCAAAGCGTGGTGGCTGAGTGTAGGTAGCCAATACGTACAAGGATAGGTGGAGTGAGCATCATGACACGCATATCAATGCATGTAACCTCGGGGTGCAACATGGGGTTGAGGATCTTCTCAAATGGTACGCATTGTAGGACTGTCATGAGTCTAGATGCCGTCAGTCTGCGGCTATATGAACTGCGGATACCATTCAACTTACAAGCTGGAGAGGAAGACCGAAAACGCCAGTGCGAATCCAAGATATACGAAGCCACGGAACTTTTGGCCAACAGAAAGCCGGAGATAGAACAAGAGGAAGGTCATCTTGATGACTGAGTGTGCGCCATAGATCACGATCTCTTCAATAAATGATATCTGTGTGCTTCCTTAGTCCTTCTATCTCTCATGAAAGCACCCGTAGAGAACGTACCCGAAGAAGGTCCAGAGATTGGAAACTGCATTTCACATTGCCTGGTCTGTTGGAGTCGATGGTAAGTCTTCGCACAATCTCAGAAGATCATCCCCAAACTTACTTGCCACAGCCCAGGTTCAGAAACAGCTGCAGAACAATTTGATGAACAATACTGACGACCTGAGAGAATAAGCAAACGTGGAGACATCGCAAAGCTGGTCATGTTTTACCAGTACAAGACATGAAGCTGTATCATCCCAACCCCATGATCTCAAGACTAGTGCGCGAGAGTAAAATCGGGCGACCGAGGACAGCAAGCCGATTGCGAACGTGACGTAGGCGACAACATACGCCCACTCGAAGAGGCTGAGCACCATACTGAAGCTGTAGGGTGGGAACTACTGCTGGAGGAGAAGGATGAACGAGCAACTCCACAAAGCAGAAACAAAGGAGATGCATCTTAGATCCAACTGCGCGAAGATCAAGCCTCCACCCTACACGATGCCCGAAACAGCGTTCACGCATCGACACGAAGCAAAAAACCTCTATCGAGTCTCGTCTGGCTCGCTGATTTGCCTGACACGCCGGGAATGCGCGCCACGGCACAACGTGCGGCGCAATTAAACCCGGACCTGGTAAAGCCATGTGTATTGTACCCCATCTCAGGGGAGACGAATGTTGATCTTATGTCGTTATGGCGGCAATCTAGATGGCGTGCGTGCTCAGGACGCCAAGAGGTACAGGCTGAGGAGCGCGGTTGAGGCCGCGAGGGGGTGACGAGCTATCCAACGGTCTTGCCGCCTTGGCAACGTACACGCCAGGTGGTACTATCGTCGGGTAACTTGTTGATGATCGCCAATTGGGTGATTTGGGGGTTTAGGAGATTTGCAGGAGAATTGGAGATGTTGGAGGGTGAGGCATGGAGGTGTGGCTAGTCAGCAAACGTCAGAAGGGTCCAAGCAATGACTAGGAAGGCACGTCATGGCGACGCATTGGCATCAACACTTAGTAATAGCGAAGGCACGTAAAGGTACCGAGGTATCGACATGCCACAACACATAATTTTGCGAAAACCATCGACACAATGCGAACGATTATCGCCCAAAAGACTAGATTACGGATGCACACTTCCTCGATTACACATCCTTCACAAAACCAACCTCAATAACCTTATCCATAGGAACATCCAAACTCGCAATCTTCGCTCTCGAGTTATCCCGGATGAACAAGAAAGCCTTCAAGAAGAACCGGCGGATAATGTTCGTACCGACCTTAACCTTCATCTGCTCCTTACCAATAATGTACAACACCTCACGGTTGTACGCACGCTCAAGTGCTTCCAGACGAGCAGAAGTAGTTGAGCTGCGTGTTGGAGTCGATATTCCACTTCCAGCAACAGTCTCGGTAGCCATGGTCTTCTCCGGCTGGGCGCCGGTAGCCTTGGCTGATATTTCGCCATCCCGTTCCAGGGCCCGTGCGACGATGTGGTTGCGGACTTTCTCGTAGATCAAAGATGCTAGGTCTGGGGTGATGACTTCGTCCATGTAGCCATGGCGGACTACTAGGCGGTAGCAGTTGGGGACAGCAAGTCGCGAGACACTGTATCGGTTTTCTGGGGCGACGAAAGGTACTTCTAGCGGCCGAAGATGGAAGAAGACGATGACCTCGGGGATGGTGACTAGTTTGCGGATGAATTGACTGAAGACGATAGGAGTTGTCTCGCCAGCTTTGTCGAAGAAGATGCCGAAGCCTTCCATGGTTCCAACAGATTTGCTGCCATACTGCTCGGTCAACTCTAGGCGGCCGTCGGGCAATGTCTTTACGAAGTGCGTCGTTGGGAAGCGATCGCTAGCTTCCGCGCCCCACTGCTGCTCTTTACCAAATCGCCAAAGGATGAATATGGACCCAAGGAGGCATGCAAGAAGAATGGTGAACCAGGCGCCGTCTGGAACTTTGGTGAGTGCCGATGACAGGTAGGCACCGTCCAGGCAAGCGATGGTGAGCCAAGGAAGGATTACAAAGTATGGCTTGATGCGCCACACTAAGATTGCAACGAGTGTAACCATGCATGTGTCGAAGAACGTGACGAACATGACGCATACACCGTAGGCGTTACCCAAAGATGTTGTGTTATTGTAGATTGCAGCAACAAGTACAGTGCCAATCATCAGGAGCCAGTTGATGCTAGGGATATACAGCTGTCCATGATACGTTGTCGAGGTATGTACGACCTTGATCTGTGGGAAGTACGAGAGCTTCATGATTTGGGTCAGGAGCTGGAACGTCGCCGTAATCATGGCCTGAGACGCGACGATGGCAGCAGCGATGGCTACGATGAGCGAAAAAATAAGCCATCCTGGCGGGGCGCAGTTGTAGAAGGGGTTGGAGTATGCCTCTGGGTGCACACTGATGTAGGCAGCTTGGCCACTGTAGGCAAGCAGTAAACACGGGTAGGCGTAACCGAGCCAACTGATCTGTACGGCACGGCGACTGAAGGCACCGATATCTGCGAAGAGAGCTTCGACGCCTGTGAAGGCCAGGAGTATACCGCCGAGACTGCGCCAGCCTTCGTATTTGTTCCGTATGAGGTAGTCGAATGCGTAGAAAGGATTGAAAGCTTTTAGGATCGCGTAGTCATAGCTGTAGGCGTCAGTCAAGAGTACTTCGGAAGTAACAAGAATACATACTTGGCAAGGTTGTATATTCCAAACCCAGCGTTCAAGGCCAGCCATACAATGACGATGGGCGAAAAGACAAACGTCAATTTCGTAACACCAAGCGGTTGCACGACGAATAATAGGACGAGAATGGCGCATGTAACACCGATGATGGTGGACTTCTCGATGTCAGGCTTCACCACGTTGAGACCTTGAACGGCACCCAAGACGGATTGAGCTGGAGTCAGAACACCATCAGCCATGACCATCGATACGGCTAATACACCGATGACCTGCAGTAGACCACGAAAGAACTTGGACTTTTCGATGGTTGAGCGAATATTCCTTGTGGACCGGCCCAGAGTATCGGTATTGTGTCTCTCCATTCCTGCATGATAGTCAGTATAGCAAGGTCTGTGGCGGGATGCACACTCACGTATTAGGGTTGCTTCGCGTGGATCTCTGTTCGCGATGTTTGCCTGCATACATTAGTGACTAAAGATCTCACGGAGGTGATTTGACGTACATATTTGGACAGAAGAGAGTATGTGCTGAACGTCCCGCCCTCTCCATCGTTGTCGGCGCGTAGGATGATCAAGACGTACTTGACGGTGACCATCAAGGTGACAGACCATAGTATGAGCGACAGGGCACCGAGCAGATTGATTCGGCTAGGCGCCTCTGTGAAAGTCGAAGAGTAAACATACAGCGGCGATGTTCCAATATCACCATAGATGACACCGGTGGATTGGTATGCCAGGACGAGGATCTGTGTCAGACTGAAGACCTGCGTCGCGTCAGTGAGCTGGATCACACCGCGCCATGTGCCTCCTTACCTGACTGCGCTTAAAATCGCGCTCATCGCGCAGACCTGCATCTTCGTCTTCCGCGTCTTCCAGTTCGCTGATCTTCGCATCCACCGAAGTCCGATTCGCGTGCGACTTGGTGCGTGAGCGCATAGGATAAACTCCGCCCACGGACTGCGACGACCGAACCGGATGCAGGTCTGCATCTGCAAAGTGTATTGAGGTATCCATACCAGGCTGTCGGTGTCGTACGCAAAGACAGTCAAGCAGTCTCGCAGGACTTATACAATCCCGTTATCTGGCCGCAACTGTGACTGTCTGACAATCTCATCTGGTAACAAGCTCTACCGCTGACGCAAAGCTTTGGTTGGCTCTTAGCCTAGGTGCTTATCGTGAGAACGGAATGCCCACGTGTAGTTAGCTGCTTCATTGTTTAGGCAGGATGGCGCAGCACTGCGGGATTTTCTTGAAGCGTCGGCGCGCGGGGATGTGACTTGCAGCGCTTGCTTTTCGGCGCCGCAACGCCCTTGATGCAATGTCGCGGGCTCGTAAATCGCGCATCCCGTGAAGACTTGCCAGGAATAATGGCTAAAAGCAGGATTTGGCCCTCAGCTCGTTGGGGAAGCACACAAAACATGGGCACTCGAAAGAGTACAGTGTGGTCGGTCACAGTGGTGACGAGCGACCATCAGCCGCCGTCGTCAGAGGTCGAGCTTTGCATCGTGCAGACTTCATGCACGAGTACCAGCTGAAGTTTGGCGGGGTGTGGGATGCCTTTGTGTATCGGGCAACTGCACCCTGAGAGATGATTGCAGCTAAAATCGTCCTGAGCCAATCAGCGAGGGTCGCTAATGCTTGAGCGGGTCACCCCGCTAATGCTTGGTCTGACCTTCACAACACGCAGCCCGTGGGCCTCGACCATGCGTACGACGCTCATTGACAAACGGTTCGGTACCAGCTCTGCCTCGTTTCCTGGTAGCACTACCTAGCAAGTGCCCGTCGCGGCTCGTGTGTATGATATTTCTTTATGTCAAAGGCCCGAAAACAAGGGTACGATCGTAACAGCGCATGGCCTAGCTGACGGTGCCGTTGGTCTAGAAAAGCGTACCTGCATCTAGAAGCCAGTTAGGTCGTTGTCACGGTGTGTCGATTCTCAGTCCGCGTAGTCGCAACAGCCACCGTACTCTTCACCTACGTGCGACACACCTCAAAAGATGTTGCATTCATCGCGCAGTCCTAGTTCTTGTGTTGACGATACTTCTCTTCTCGAGAGCGCAGTCCTAAACCATATGATCATGGCAGCTTCTCCAAACCGAATTGCGCATATTCAGCAAAGAGACAAACGCTCTATCACGGCTCAACGTACTCATTCACGTGATTTGCGAGTAAGCGTTTCCTCTCGCCAGTATAAAACCTCCATTTAGCATTCTCTCCATCTCTCCACCTCACTTCTTCTAACGTAAGGGGAATTTCCAAAAAAAATGGAGCGCAAATCCATGTTCCAAAAACGAAGCTTGATCGAGTCATGTCTTTTGCCTCGTCAGCTCCGCCAACCTCACTTCCAAAAGTCCAAAATTTCCTCTGAATGTCTGTTGCTCTTCTCCACTGCTACTTTTACCAAATCCATACCAGTAACTCCAAAACATTGTCCACATACATCCATGGTGGTCTGTCCCTCAAAAAAGAAAGCTCACAATTTTCATGGAGAGCAGACTTCATGGGATTAAAAGCTTCCAACGGAAAAAGCGATCGTAGATATCATTGATGTCTGCGTCTCTGAGCAAGTTAAGCCATTCAAAAGACAAGAGAAAACTATGATGGAGTTTTCGAAAAAATTTGTCGATGTCGTCTTCATGTCCGGGCTTGAGCACAAAACTACTTACGCAATATGTCATGGACGTTCGATCTGTTCCCATTTCTTGAAATCTTTCCCGGTACAGGACATGTCTTTGTTCTTCTCGTCTCCACAATACATAAAGTCTTCTCTTCGACTAGTTCTTGACTTTTACCTCTTTACTGCAATCATTGTGTGTAAATTCTAAAATCACAAATGGATACCTCATGTGCTCCAAAATCGCCCTCGACAACCGGTCATGTTCCTCCCTCCGTCTGCCTTGCTTCTTTGAAAAGTTTCAAAACTACAACATACCAACGCATGTGAACCAAAATACCTACCACGCTTTTTGGATGTCTTCTGCGCTCCTGCCTTTCTGCCTACTTCTTTCGCTTCATCATCAAAACTCCGAGGCGAAGTCCGTATGTGGGAATCATCGTTCTCAAACTCAGAACAAAGTCGAAGGAAGAAGTTTCCATGGAGTCTTTCCTTCCTCTGCGTGCAACACGCAAAATTCGTCAAGGGCATCCTCATGCACGACCTCCAATCGAAAATCACAAGCTAACCTATGCATGAGTCAGTGGAAAGTTTCCAAAAATCTGGGTCCGAGGATTTATGTGTTCTGCTTCTCGGTCGTGGGCCAAAATTCAAGTACCTACGTACTCATGCTTCCAGCCTTCTACGAAAATCCAATCTTAAACATGATCTCGCTCTTCGAAAAAGCCTACAAGACCCTTGATGATTTCGCGAACAAGGTCGGAGGAATGAGTGGTGGTACGACGCGCATCTCTCTCTCGATGATGATCATCATCACCGACGTATACATCCCCATAAAACCAACACATAGTATATTCATGCATGTTTCTAGTATATGCCCATAACAAAAACCCTCTATATGCCAAAGCAACACAGCCCAAAGCCATAACCGACTCCCCAACTCCACATCATCACCGGGTATACCACGCTCAATTCATACAAGCACTGAACATATCGCTTCATCCCAGCATCATCTTCCAAACCTCCTTCACGCGTTGTGAATAAACCAGATGCATCCATTCCAGAACCATGTCCTACAACTCGTCGTGCGCATCCGGCTCCGGCATTATAATAGGCTCCGTCGGCCTACCGAGTTCCTCATCAATGCTAACGCCCTTCTTGGCGCGGTACTTTTCCCACACGCTCCAGAACTCCTTCTCCATGCTCTTCTCCATTTGGTCGGGGAGGACGACTACGTACTCGACGTGCAGGTCACCGTATTGCAGACCCTCGTGGGTTTCGAGTTGTTGGGCCCATACTGGCATGCCCTCTTCTTTCACGATTTCAACCATGTTAGGCTGGACGACTTCGCCGCGTTTGCGGGAGAGTTGGACAACGTGGCCGTCCAGGTGGGTGATGTTACGTGTCCAGCCGCCCATCCATGCCTCGCGGAGGGAAAGGACTTCGCGCCAGAAGAGATCCTTGCCCCGTCTCCGGAAGAAGGTTCCGTCTGTGCGCTCGTGGTTTTGTTCTCCCATGGCAGGTTCGGCCTCGACGAGGTGGACAATGAGGTCGCCAGCGACGTAATCGGGGCTTTCGTCTGCTTCGTTCTCGTAGGTGATGCGTACGCCCTTTGGCATGCCCTTCTCGATCTCGAGATCGTGTGATTCGGCTTCGCGGATGACTCTGCTACCGTGGCAGACGGGGCAAGGCTTCTTGATCGTCTTTCCTTTGCCGTGACATTGGTCGCAATGGACTTGCACTTGCTGGAATAGGCCGGGTGCGAGTTGCTGTCGCTGGATCCTGATACCACGTCCACCGCATGTACCACAAGTCTCCACGTGTCCATCCTCCGAGCCTGAACCCTCGCAGGCTGAACAAATCGCTTGCTTCTCGATTGTGAACTCCGTCTTTCGGCCGTTGTAGAAGTCGCGCAGGGGCAGTGCGACCCGTACTTCCATGTTCGGTCCGCGTCGTTCTCCGCCCTGGTGTCCAAAGTGTCCTGAGCCGCCGAAGAAGCGCGAAAAGAGATCGAAGGGATCGTGCTGGCGTGGACCACCGCCTTCTTTGTGTTGCTTGATGCCATCGTGGCCGTACTGGTCGTAAATCTTGCGCATCTCTTTCTTGCTGAGGACCTCGTAGGCTTCGGCTATCTCGACAAACTTCCCACTTGCCTCATCGTCGCCACTGTTAAACGTTAGAGGTGTGAGCTGGTATGATGGGTTTACGAACGTACGGGTTCTTGTCTGGGTGGAACTTCTTGCTGAGGGTTCGATAAGCTTTCTTGATCTCGCGCTCCGAGGCATCTTTCTTCAGGCCAAGTAGCTACGGTATCATGTTAGGAAGTGCACTTCAACTTGCAACTGAGGCGAAAGTACAGATGTGTACAGATAACGCTTTTACATACCTTGTAGTAGTCCTCTGCACCCACAACGATCAGCGCCAGGAAGGCGACCAGAAAGAACAGCGCTAACCGTGGGAGCATTTTGTCCTATGAGTTGCGCCAACAGCGGTGTTGAAGTTGCGAAAGTGAGTGGACGGAATAAAAGTATCCGAGATAAATGCAGAAGCAGATTTCTACATGAGGTTCGCGTGTGAAACTCAGGTACGAGCGACCCCGAAAAGAAAGAATTGGGAGAGTGGAAGCGGAAGGGCGACTTGGAATGTGAAAGTGGATGTTGCGAATGGGACACGATAGCAGTAACGTAGATTATGCGGCCAATCGGAGTTAAGCCTTGGCATTACCGACTTCACTTTTCATGCGAAGCGATTCCCACGCGACGACGGTCAATTGAGGCTGCACCACCCCACACGCTTCCGACACGCGATTAGATAACTTACAAGGACGCATTGAGTTGCCGTCTCCATATACACATCCTCAGGTCGACCTTGGCGTGCGCAGCCCGCGCTAGCAAACCTCCGCAAGACCTCCGCAACCACCGCACACCAACCACGCCTCGACTCGACACCCACCACCACCCGCCATGGCGTCGATAGCGACCAAGGCGATAGCCGGCAAACCAATTGTACCGCCATGTTTCACAAGTCAGAAAGTCGGCGTCGTAGTTTCAGCAGGCAAGATGGCGAGAGCAGTACGAGTGCGCGTCTCAGAACATGAATGGAATAAGAAGTTTAGGAAGGTGTGTTGGCACGATAATCGCACATTTGCCCATAGCAGTGCTGACGAATAAACCAGCACTTTCCAGCCCCAAAAACATACATAGCCCGCGACCCCAACAACTCCGTCGTCGAAGGAGATATCGTGCGCATAACATCCGGGTACCGCACCTCCAAAGTAATCCGCCACGTCGTAACCTCCATCGTCGCGCCCTTTGGCGAGCCCGTCGAAAACCGACCCCCAGTCCTCACCCAAGCACAACTCGACGAACAGCGCATCAAAGAGCGGTTATTGAAGGACGTACGGTCAGCGGAGCGGGGCAGGCAAGCGAGTATCCAAAGACTGGCGCTGGCGCGGAAACAAGGCTTAACAATACCCACATTGGCGGAGGCTATGGAAGGCATGAGGATACATACCGAAGCGGAAAAGGCACGGGCTGAGGCGCATGGTGGGCAGGCTGGACAGCAGAAGACGGCGAAGGAGAGGAGGCTGGAGCAGGGCAAGAAGACGAAGGCGGAAGTCAAGGCGGAGAGTAAGGTTAAGAATGCGAGGAAGCAGACTGCCTGAGGTAGTTGTGAGGTGGGAATTGTAAAACATATCGTGTATACATCAAACGCATCCAAGGCCGCCTGTACGGTGAGTTGTGGCAGCGCATGGCATACGCTTTACGATGTCACTGATGCTCAGCATTGCTACAGTGATGACTATACTAATCAAGCAGCCCTCACATCTATCTTATAGCGTTTTCTCCTTCTCCATGGGTATATAACGGTCTATCTTCTGTTTCGTAGCTCAGCCCAACACCGAACTGACACTCAAGCCAAAAACCCAGCTCCCACGGCCAGGAGAGCTACCACCCATCCCACCAGCCTCAAAGAAGCTCCATCTCCACTCGCCTTACCTAACACCAGTCAGTCAGTCAAACATCTCACACGCATCTCGTCAAGTCTCAACATACCTTCCCCATCCCCCGTCTGCACCGCACTCCCCACGGCCGTCGTACTCTGCGCCACCTCCGCAGCCCTCGTCCCATTCGGCCCCTCTATCCCCTCCAACTCTTCACTCCACCCGAAGCACCCCTGCTGAAGATTAAGACTCTTATCCGTCTTCGCCTCCGGATAAATCTCCTCGACGCACTCCCTCCACTCATTCCTCTGCTCTCGCGTAACCTCGCAGTAAAGCATGCAGTCCTGCCACATTTTCACCTCGGCGCCGGGTTTGCAGCACGAGGCGAGGTAAGGGATCGTTTTGTTGCTGACGTTGTTGCCGATATTGTACATGCACCACGCGTCGGACACGTCGCTGAAGTACATGTTTTGTGATGAGGGGGGGCAGGTTAGGGGCGTGGGGTAGGGGGTGCCAGATATTATCATGACTGTGCCCGAGGGGGGTGGGGTGGTTGGGGAGGGGAACAGAAAGGTGTCCAAAGAGGTGAGGGAAGACATGGTTGTGGGATGGCGTTGTGCGGCTGAGGATGTTTTCGCTATATTTCAAACGAAGAGATGTTTTCGTGGATCCGAAGTCGTGCGGGAGATATGTGGAATTCCGTCTGTGTTTAGCTCGTATGTAAGTTACTTTTACCTTTCCCTTATACTCATCCCATCCACCGGCACCAGCGGCACTTTACCCACTTTTCTTCTTCTACTACTTTACTCAAGCAATGCCCATCCCGAGGCTCTCATCTAACCTCTATACCAACCATGCCACCAGAAGACTTTTTCCCCACTTCACCGACGCCTGGGCCCCTCTTGACTTTCAATCTTCCTCGCGTAGTTGTAATCGTACGAAGAGCCTCATCGCGCGTAACCCGTTCTAGTCAGGCGCCCGATACGCCAAGAGCTCCTGGCAGGAAACTAGGACAAAACAGGGAAGATCCAGGGCAGTAAGGCGTGCCAATTTAGACATACGGGAGATTTTCTGGACGGCTAACGGGAAGGGAACACGAAGAATGACGCGCTGTGGCTGTGTGTTGAGGCACTGCGTTTTGTACATTGGTAGAATAACGAACATGCATAGAACCATGTCTCCTAGGTATAACCATCCTCCCCACCATCAACACCCCCCTCACACAAACGGCAAAACAACATGACTACCAAACTCCCCACCCACATGCACCACATGCGTCCCCTTATTCCTCTCCTCAAGCTCCACCTTCTTCCTCGGACCAAACTCCTGCACAAGAGGATACTCGCCACTAACCTGCACGCTAATTCCCTCTCCAGCCTCGAAATCAACACCCATAGCCCACAGCCCTATCTCCAACTTCACCACCTCGCCTGCTGGTATCTTTTGCACTTCGTCGTGTGTATGGAAAGGATATTGTGGATGGATAGACTGTGAGGGATCGGTTTTACGGTGGGAGGCGCGGAGGACGCCTGTAGGGCCGTAGTAAACCATCAAGTTCGAGTAATCGGACTCTGGGATTTCGGCGGCAGATTTGTAAGGCGCGGCAGACCAGGGGATGTTTATGGCGATCATGGGTTTGCCAGTTTTGTCGAGTTTGCGGATTAGGACGTAGACGATCATGTCGTTGAAGTCGGGGCAGGACATGTATAAGACGGCTTTGGGGAGGCCCATTAGGCGGGTAGGCTTGTCGAAGGTCATTGTGAAGGCTGCGTGGGAGACAGGGGAAGTGTTGCTTTCGGAGTTGTAGGTTAAAGTGCCGGGCGTGCTTGGTGCGGTGGCTTCAAGCTTGTTATCGGCGGAGAGGTAGAGGGTGCGGTAGTCTGTTCGTGGAATGGGGAAGTCTTCTTCGACGATGGGGTAGATGGCTTGTTTGTCGCCGTAGTTGAGCGACGACATGCGTACGCGCGGTGTATTTTCCCAATCGTTCTTTTCGCCTTTGAGATAACGGTCGAAGAAGGATGCGAGCTCGTCGATGGATTCCTGGACGGCCCATAGGTCGTACCACTCTTGATACGGGTCCCATCTTAACCACTTGTCTTTCGTATCGACTTGCATCCAGCCGCGTATCGATCCCATAGTGTGCACGAAACTGGAGTAGGATGCGACGATGTATGTTGGGATCTTTATGCTGGCAATGTCGGCGCGCTTGTCTGCCCAGTAGGGGTTCATGGTTGAGGAGCGACGGTACATCTCTTTGAAGTCTTCGAGTCCGTTCTTGCCCCGGATTACGTGCTCGGTGATGAAGTCGAAGAGGCCATTGTCCCAAGCTCCGCCGCGGACGAATTGTTCGCGGTAAAGATCACCACAGGCTTCCCAGGGTGCGATGGCTTTAAGTGAGGGAGGTTGTGTTGCGGCAATGAACCATTGGACGATTCCGAGATGTGAGTTGCCTGCCAGTCCAATCGAGCCGTTACACCTGTATCATCGTTAAACTAGTGTTATCCGGAAGACTGGTGCGAATCTTACCAGTCCATCTTTGCGAGCTCTTCGATCACGTCGTGCCCATCCTCGCCTTCTTGCTTTCCCATGATGACAATGTCTCCATCTGAGTCTCCCGCACCTCTCGCATCTACGTTGACAACCGCATACCCCCGAGGAACGTATTCTGCCGGATCGGGTCCTTCGAATCGCTCAAGACCGCTGAGGCAGCCTTTCGGTACACCGCAACCCCATTTGACCTGGATGATGTTAGTCTTTCCTCATTCTAAGTCTTTGATCTGTACGGTAAATACGAACCTTTGACATCATATCAATGCCCGTATGCTTCTTGCCAAAAGGACTCCAAGCCACAATCGCAGGCACTTTCTCACTCCCATCGCTTCCGACTGGCCGGTAGATATCGCAGTACAGCGTACACCCATCTCTGACTTTGACAGCGACATCGTGCTCAGCAATCATGTCTCCAGAAAGTGCGCGAGCGCCATCCCGACTTTGGTAACCCTTGCGAAGAGTCTCTTTGCGCGGATTGAAGCCTTGGTAGCCATTTTCACCCACCTTGGGCGGCTTGACAGCCAGATTGGCGACCTGAAAAGCGAGAGGCATGATTGCAGTATGAAAAGAGCGAACAAAGAAGTTGTTGCGAGTGACTTGCAGCAACATGGGAAGTAGGAGGCCGCATCGTGGTTTTGAAAAGAGCGTATTGTTGCCGGTGGACTCCGTGGAAACCGCCCGACCGTTCTCGGCCGCGACACTTCTACCGAGTGACCAGCTCTTTGTATCTTCACGCGCCTTTCGAGGTGTAGCGTCGGCATGTGGAGTGTTTCGAGATGCACATGCACGCTAAGGCTCGCCCGATCTCGACCGTGATGCAGTGAGCCGCAGGGTCCGCCCCACAACGAAGCTTGTCTGTCCCCGCAGCGAGCGGCCGTGGACGGGCGAGCCGGGAGGATTGTAGAGGGGTGTGAGGTATATCAGTGGAGGAATATCTTGTGCCATCACCTCCGAATCCATTACTCCATTTC